AGTGCTTCGCTGCGAGGACGAGCAGCATCAGCGGCTGCGAGTGCGTGTGTGCTGCTGGCGGCTACGGTGACACGTGTGTGCCAGCTGCGGTTCCGGACGGCCTTGGGCCGCTTCCGCTCCCCGACGCGGACGACACGGAGGTCCGCTGTGTGCACGGTGGCAGCATAAGCCCCGTGGACTATCCTGATCCCGGTGTGCGTGGTCTGTGCTTTGTCAACGTGACCTTCACCGCCGCGATCGTGCTGGACCTGTCGCGTTTCGACGCACAACAAAAGACACTCAGCATCACGCTGTTGCAGTGCGTCCTCATGGGCCTGTCGGTCAGGGGGAGTGGTGCGCGCGTGCACGTGAACGTGACATCCTCGATGATGGATTCTGGTGCATTGAAGTTCAGGGGCGATTTTGGCGCGAGCTCCCAGATACTGGTGGCGGGCAGTACACTTGTGACGAAGTCGAGGCACGCCACTGCTTTTTGGGAATTTACTCTTGGTACAAACTCGACGCTGCTGTTGCTTGACAACTACATCGAGGCGAATATTTACGCACTTTCTTTTTCCGATAGTGTTGTTGATGGTGGCGGGATCATTATGAAGGGAAATACGCTGAGGGCAACGGGGAACGATGACGGTGTGGAATCAGCTGTTTATATTGAAACCTTTGATGTGGGGAACGGCGGCTACTTTGACGTCGAGAACAATACTATGAGCGGTGCCAATGGGATTTACCTTTTGGGGGGTACTACCGTAAACTCCGCAGGTCTGTTGCGAGTGGCGGACTGCTCTTTTGCTGGCAGCACGTTTCCTTTTGATTCTACGCTGATTTATTTGGATAGCTCAGTGACTCTCGAGGGAGGTGCGCAGTGGCGTGTGGAGGGCAACGAAGTGAGTGCGGCCTCAGTATTAATTATGCCAAAATCAGCGTACATAATTCAGGTGTCGGGCAGCGGCACCACCGTGGCGCTTGCACACAACCGTCAGGTGGACAATAGTTATCCCTTTGCTGATCTGCCTTTGTCGAAAACGGTTGTGGAGTCACCCGCGCGGTTTGTGGTTGGGTGCAACCTGCAGGGCGGTGAGGAGGTGTCGTGCGACGGCGTGTTTCCGGAGGACGTGGTGCTGTTTATTTGTGGCACATGCAACGACGACGCGGCGTGCTACGTGCCCGGGACGGAGTCGGTGGACCGCAGCTCGTGCTCGTGCAGCTGCAAGGAAGGATGGCATGGCGCGTCGTGTCTTCCCTTCGAGGTGCCCAACGCGGTTGTGCCGCCCGTGGCGGAGAGAGCCGTCGACGGCGACACGAGCTGCGTGGTGAACCAGACGCTGAAGAACCTTACACTGAACATGTGGAAGACGCACCACTGCTACGTGGGTGTGACATTCAGCGGCGTGGGTGCTGTGCTGACATTTTTTCTTGACAGGATGCCGCTGCATCTCCTCATCAACATCACGCTCACTGGGTGCACATTCAGTGGCGGTGCCGCGCTGCAGTTTGTTGGGGGTGCTGGGGCGGCGGAGTCATCCGGCGTCCTGATCCGCGTGAGCCAGACGGTGATGCGGTCCTCCGTCGTTGCTTTTTCACTTGCCCTCCCACAGCACTGCGACATTGCCGTCACGGAGGTTGACGCGCTGCAGTCTTCCAAGCTCAAGCTGCAGGAATCTGCAAACAACATGTGGAGCGTTGTGGTGCTGCACGACGTTGTGTTGAGTGCGTCCTCGCTGTTGGTCAGCAACGTCAAGGCGCATTCAAAGAGGTACGGTGCGTTTGGTTTGTACTCGACTGGGACGCTGACGCTGGTGCGTGGCAGCTCGCTGTACACGCGGTACTGCAGCTTCGAGGGATACACACATCTGTTCTACGTCTATAGGCTCAGTGTCCGAGATCACTCTGTTTTTGCTCTGCTCAACAACACGATGTCCTCCGGGAGAACTCTCCTGTTTCAACACTCTCGATTCAGCGTGTCGGATTACAGCGTGTTGCGCGTGGTGGGGAACAGTGGCTTTGTGTCGTGCGCCATCTCTGCGCATATTCCGTGGGTATTACAGAATTCAAGCTGGCTGGATTGGCGTGACAACGACGTGGAAGTGGGTGCGATGTTGTGCTGTTTTTCTTCTGCCACTGTGAGCATCGACAGCAGCAGTGTGGTGACGCTGAAGGGATGCAAGATGGGCTCTACGGGGTTGTCGGTACCTCTGCTATCGCAGTCTGACGCCGGCTACCGTTTCGTTGCTGGGTGTCTGACGGTCGCGGGACGATTGGTGACAACGGCAGCAGAATTGGAGCTGAACGGCATCACCAACGTGACGAAGGTTGTCGCGTGCGGGCAGTGCACGAAGGACGGCGACTGCTTTGCTCCGCTGACGACGGCGGTCATTGACTGCAAGTGCCAGTGCGCTGCTGGAGGGCACGGCGATGTGTGCGTCCCGGCGCCTATGCCTGCTGGCCCGCCACCGCCACTGACACCGCCCACACTGCCCACACCGCCGCCAGTTGGTGAGTGCATCAGCGACATGGTGTACCCCGAGGTTGCGCAGGCTGTGGGCAGCGGGCTGTCGTGGCTGTGCTACCGCAACGTGACGTTCAGCGGGGGCGGCATGAGCCTGACGGTGCTCATTGAGGCGATGACGGGCGACGTGGCGAATGTCACGTTCGATGGATGCACGTGGAGGGACGGCGCCGTGCTGTTGCTGTTGGGCAACGCGTACGCCGCTGTGGGGTCGCTGAACATCGTCGTCACCGGCAACACGTTTGATGATGCGCTTCTCAGCCCGGAGGGTGTGTTTCCACCGCACACGAACATCACGATCAGCGGGAACCGCTTCACGGTCACGGGGCTGATTCCTCGGTCGGGTTTGGACATTAGGAGGCCGTCGTGTGTCGCGATGAATGCATTGGCGATTAGCAACGGCTCCGCGGTGGTGCTCAGTGGCAATGTGTTTCAGAGCGTGAGAGCATCGTCAATCGCCATTCACGTTGTCAGATCTGCGCTGAGGGTGTCGTGGCACTCCGTGTTTGCGGTGGTGGGCAACACGTTTCACATGGCTGGCAGTGACGGTACGCTGATACATCTTGAGGGGACTAGCCAATCGTTTTCGCTGAGCGTACTGAACAACTCTGCCATGGTGATCCGAGGCAACGCTGTGTCGAGGCCGGTGAGGTACGTCATCATATTTGTTTGGGTTTTTTGTGTGGAGTCTTTTTCAGCGGTTGTGTTTCAGGGCAACGACATGCGAGGAAGTGTGGCTGCATTTTTTTCAGGCTTTTATTCCTACATTTACTACAACTCCTGGCTGCAGTTGAGCGGCAACTTCTGCCGTGAATCCCCATCGGAAGCGTTTGCTGTTTTTAACCCCACGGTGAATCTCCGCGACTCCACGATGTCTGTGTCCGGCAACCAATTCATGTTCGGCACAGGCACGCCAACACTGATAAAGATACCCAAAAGGTCCAGCGATCTCACAAACGGAACGATTGTGGCTGCGTGCAACACTGGGAGCGACGAGGAGGAAGCGAACTACGTCATTCCGTCCGTGTACAATGCCACCATCCTGACCTGCAGCGATCCATGCACCCTCGCAGCGTCGTGCTTCCCTGCGTACACGACGACGGCCTCGAGTGATGGCTGCGCCTGCGCGTGCGCGGAGGGCGGCCACGGCGATGCGTGCCTGCCTGTTGCTGTCCCCGAGGCGCCGAGCACCGACGGCGCCGACTTGTGCGTGCGGGACGTGCGTGTGGATGTGGAGGTGAACGCCGTTCTCGGGACGTCAGTGGTGTGCTACGTTGGCGTGACCTTTGCGGCGGACGTCGTGGTGGACGTGGAGTCGATGTCAGGGAGCGTGCGCAACGTGACGCTGGCGAACTGCACGTTTGTGGGCGGAGCGAGCCTGTACGTTGTCGGGTGGCGGTCCGACCCGCCTGCTGGCGAGCGCGCCGATGCTTTGATCAGCGGGCTTGAATCGCGCTCTGGCGGCGGCGTGCTGGTGGCGAACCGATTTCCGCCGGGCTCGCGCGTCACTGTGGTGGACTCGGTGCTGATCGCTGAGAAGCGTGTTGCGTATCGCGGCGCCTACGGCCTTGGCGACGCCTCCGCGTGCCTTGTGGTGCACAACGTGAATCTGACGGGGAGTGTGCTGACCATTGCGCGCACGCATGTGG